CATGTTGTTCAAAGAAAAGCCTGATTTGTTCACTCTTAAAAGTCTTTAATCCCATAAATCTTTGATTTATTTTTTCCTGCTCTTACGGCTGTAATATAAATAAAAACAAGTAATAATAATAATACATCTCTTTGTTTAATATCAGTCAAATTTATAAAGGTGAGATAGGAGGTTTTATAGATTTTGTGAAAACAGGGTGCTGTTGGCATAAAACAGTATTTAGAAGCCCTGTCTCTGCAGCGAAGTAGACTTAGATCCTAATCTCACTGCTGCCACTAATGAGCAAGTGACACTGGACACATGATGGAATGATTCCCCGACTCAGACTCCTCATTTGTAAATTGGAAATACTTTAATATCCACCTAATTCATTGATGTGACAAACTAAATGAGATAGCACAGATAAAGCCCTTGCCTAAAACAATTGATCAATTAAATGTAACTATTACAACTATCAACATTATTGTTTTAACCAAGTAAGATCTGCTAACAAGGTATTATTTTCTCCATTTGGTGTATTAAGACCTGAGCCTCAAAGCACTTGAGTGACTTTCACACAATCACACAAGTAAATAGAGACACTGCCTTAGACTGTTTTTCACTCTCCCAGGCAGTTCACTGTCACATTTTGTGCGAGTTCATTTAAGCCTCTCTAGGAGCCTGCTGATGAACTTTCTATAAACTTTCTAAAAAGTTTATAGAGTCCAGAAGAAGGGTGGGTTCTGACAATCCCATGAGTAGAGACTGAGTCAGAAAGAAATGCCTAATTTTAGCTACAGTGATTTCTGTGGTTCCACAGGCTGGGAAAACAGCAATTACTTTAGTGCTGTTACTGAGAAGACCTCCCTGTACCCTCTTTATCAAGTCTTAGAGGAGTACTCATCCGTAAGGACAGTGTCCCTGTATTGAACGTAATACATTATTTTCAACCCTTAGAACAACCTTACAAAATAATACTTCTATTCTCATTTTACAATTGAGCTAAGCAGACTCTCAGAGAAGTGGAGCCCAACGCACATGGTTGATAAGTAGTGAATTTGAGTTTTTGCTTTCCCCAAAAGGCAGGCTGTCCAAAACACCAGAAACGTGGAAACACTGTGTTAATGCTCATTCTCAGTGTCTTTCTCTCCTCTTTTGGTTCTACGTCCAGATTTTCTACTTATTGTTGATTTTCTCTATTGTTTATGCATCCGTTGTTTGAAGCTCCTTCAAGTCCTCTGTGAAAAGAGGATTATAAATAAATCATTTGGTGTGTATAACATATACGCATATGTATTGGCTTAATGATTCCTGGTTTCAGTTGAGAAACCCTTGACTAGCGTCAACCACACAGAGAACTGCAGGAGTTTCACTTCCTGTTTTGCCAACTTTAAGCATGAAGCAATTGGGTGTGGAAGAATAAAAGTGTCCTTGAGTGAACTGGAGGCCTAGGCTCAGTTTTGCCACTTTCCCACTCTGTAGCCTACTGACAAATTTACTCCATTGAACTTCAGCTTTCCCATCAATCATATGGAAAAAGTAATTATTTATTTGCTACCTCACTCAGCTAGTAAGATATTTAAATATGATTATAGTTGTGTGAATATGTTTCAAGTTGAAAGGTATCACACAAATTTAAGGCATTATAATTGGTATTCATTTCTCCTTATTCCACCCTTCATCCCTCTTAAATCCAGAGGATGTAAAGGGCTGCAAAGAGGCTATCTAAGGCATGACTTTACTCTTTCTTCTCCTGTTCTATGCATATAATTTCTTTCCCTTCTTGTCGACCTCACCTGCCATTTCTAGAATTTCCATCTGGGAGAGGGAACTGACAGGAAGTAGGCCAATGTCAGCCTTGTATGTAGGAAATACTCCAAGTTGTATGTTGATCTTCCTTCTCAGAGGCTTGTATATTTGCTTAAATAAACATACATATACATAATTCATATTCGAGTATAAATAGAACTGCACTTAAATCTAGCACAGATATACACAAAATCACACATTTTCAAGCCTACTAAGAAATCGATGCATACATCTATAGATAAACAATGATATATGTATGTATGTTAGTTCCTTCCTTATCCAGTTTCACTTTCCCAGGTTTCAGTTACTCATGGTCAGTCATGGTCTGCAAATAGGTGAGTACAGTACAATAAGATGTTTTGAGAGAGATAGCGAGAGAGAAAGATCACATTCACATAACTTTTATCACACTACATTATTATAATTATTCAATTTATCATTTGTTGTTGTTAATCTCTTACTGTGCCTAATTCATAAAATGAACTTTACCTTAGGTATTTATGTATAGGAAAAAATACTGCATATATGGGGTTTGGTACTATCTGGGGTCTCAAAGATCCACTTGGGGTCTAAGAACATAGCCACCAAGAATAAGGGATAAGGTGAGACTACTGTACAAGCACCAGCAAGAGTAGGGAACCCATCTCAAATAGCCATAGACATCTATTTCGAATGCATTTATTCTTCAAGAAGTATAATCACACTCTCCTCTATACAGATATGATCATACAGACACACACACTTTCAAATACATACAACCCTGATACGGGACACACAGGTATATGTTGCTCAAAGGTATATGTTGTTCAAATGCATACATTCTCTTTCCCTAGTACATGAGACATAGAAACACATCCAGGGATGTTCAACCACCTTAGACATGCTCAAACAAAACACAGTCTGACACACTCAGCAAAAAATCACACTTCTGAGTGTTCTCATAGTTCCAATTTTGACAACTGAGTTTTGCTGTCTTTCCTTTTTTATAGTTTCATTCAGATATAGTTGATATTACAAAACTACATATATTTAATATATACAATTTGATGAGTTTAGATATAGTCATACACCTGGGAAACCATCACCAAAATCAAGGTGATAAATATATCCATCACCTCCAAAAGTTTCCTTGTATAATGGAAATATATACCAAATATATGGTAATATATACCATATATCACCAAAAGTATATATAGTAAATATACTTCAGGAGATATACCCTCTTAGCAAAATTTTAAGTGCATAATACAGTGTTATTCATTATAGGAACTCTGCTATACAGTGTTATTCATTATAGGAACTCTGCTATACAGGGCTAATTCATCTTGCATACTATAATTTTATACCAATTAGACAACTCCCTATTTCCTCATTTCTCCCTTCCTCCTTTTCCCTAGGAACCACTGTTCTATTCACTGCTTCTATGGGTTTGACTATTTTAGTACCTCATATAAGTAAAAGCAGGCAGTATTTGTCTTTCTGTTACTTGCTTATTTTACACAGCATAATGGCCTCCGGGTTTATCCATGGTATCATCAACGGCAGGATTCCCCCTTTTTTATAGGCTGAATAAGATCCCATTATATGTATGTGCACATTTTCTTTGTCCATTTATTTTTCAATGGACATTTGGGTTGTTTCCATAACTTTGGAAACAGTGATTGTGAAAAGGGCTGCAATGAACGTGGGTGTGTAAATATTTTCTTGAAATTTTGATTTCAATTATTTTGGGTATATACACAGAAGTGAGATTGCTGGATCATAGAGTAGTTTTATTTTTAATTTTTTAGAAACCTCCATAGTGTTTTTCATAATGGGTACACCATTTTACATTCCCTCCAACAATGTAGAAGGGTTCCAATTTCTCTATATCCTTGATGACCCTTTATTTTTATAGTAGCCATTCTACCTGGTATAAGGTGATATTTCATCGTGGCTTTTATTTTCATTTTCCTGATGATGTCCTCATTGTCCTTTTCTTAAATATTCTGTTTCTGGGGAGAATGGATGAACACTTTTTTCTGGGAACTTCCTTTATATGAATGAACCTCGTTAATCTCAGACACACTGTTTTCTCAATGATAGCATCCACTGTTCTCAAAATGTGGAAAGGGAGCAGTGCCCAACAGGAATTTGCAATGTCTGTACTCCCTGCATTGAATCCCTTCTCAAGTAGTTCTCCTGGCACTGGGGAGGGTGCAGGGGAGGGATCCCAGCCCTCCATATCTCCCTGAAGAGATTTAGAGGGCCATTAAACACCAATTATTCTGAAAAAAATATTCTGCTGCAACTCATTTTATGGCGTCACCCCAAGTCTATAAGCCCGTACGTTTCTGGAATCAAGAAAAGGTGACCTCCTGAGGTCATCCCACTTCCTTCCTTGTCCAAATTGTTCATGATATGACCAGGAAGTGGAAATTTTTTCCCTGTTTAAAAAAAGTACCCCCTTATACAAATTATTTCAACACTATTTTCATGACAGTCATAACTTAGGAGGCAATAACTTTGGAATGACATTGAGTGACAAAGTGACAGAGTGTACTTTACATACTTCCTTAAAAAACAGCGATTAAATAAATATGGATATTAGAAGCACATCCTGAACAACCTTATTTATGATATTGGCTTAAAGACATTAAAAAATAAAAACTGGATATATAACAATAAAAATGCATCAGGGGTAAGGTCGGGCGCGGTGGCTCAAGCCTGTAATCCCAGCACTTTGGGAGGCCGAGGCGGGTAGATCACGAGGTCGAGAGATGGAGACCATCCTGGTCGACATGGTGAAACCCCGTCTCTACTAAAAATACAAAAAAACTAGCTGGGCATGGTGGCGCGTGCCTGTAATCCCAGCTACTCAGGAGGCTGAGGCAGGAGAATTGCCGGAGCCCAGGAGGCGGAGGTTGCGGTGAGCCGAGATCGCGCCATTGCACTCCAGCCTGGGTAACAAGAGCGAAACTCTGTCTCAAAAAAAAAAAAAAAAAAAAAAAAAAAAAAGCATCAGGGGTTATTAGTTAAAAAACAGAGCATTCTCAAGAATGACCAGGATGATTGTGAGCATGTGTTAATCAGGTCTCCTTAGGATTTAGCCACTAAACTTTAACCTCTGTAAGGAAACTGATTTAAAATGGAAGGTGCATCTTGCATCACGAGCCCAGTGAGTTACCAAGTAGAATTTAAGTTCAATGGAAAAGGAAAAAGTGAACACCCAGTTCAGGCAAAACTACCAAAATGGTTTTATGATGGCTATAACATAATATATAACGTAATTTCCGTTCAAAAGACTCAAGAGAAGAACAATGCCTCTTTCTGCTTTCTCTGTCCTTATTCAACTTGATGAGGTAAGAGATGAAATGACTTTCTCTGTCATGGGTTCCTTGGCTGACTTGGTTGAAATGCCCACCTGGAACACTCTGTATTTAGTCTGCATTTATTCCCTCTGCATTGGAGGCACCATGAGATTAGCATTCCCATGTATCTTGTGAACCATGGAATGACTTGCCCTTAGCATAATGCCTGGCATGACGCAACATTTAATACTTGTTTACTTAATAAGTGTTGGGCCCAGCTGCTCAAGGAATGCCTCAGATGTTGTTTTTTGTTTTTTCCCTCTTCAGATAGTTACTACTTCTTGCTATTCGCATCCTGCACCCACTGTTCCTTCTGGATTCCACGGTCTACCATCCAGCAGGGCTTTTCTGAGTCGTCTCCAGAAGATGTGCCTCCCCAGGACACTGTCCTCCCACTCCAGGTAAGTGTTCCTGCTGAGAAGGCGGTACAGCTCCACCTGCTGCCTGAGCAGGGACTTCTCCACCTTCTGCAGGACAATGAAGATGATACCAGCACGACTGCTCAGAAACTGCCAGGTCTGAGCAATCTCATATTCAAAGATACACCAGCGGCTCTGGATGAAGTGCTGAGATACCACAACAATCACCTTCCGGCTTTTATGGAAACCTTCATGGATGATGTTGGCAGCAATGGCCACACCGGGAATAAAGTCTCTGTAGTGAAGGCAGAGCTGAAAGGGAGGCACCCCTTCTTCTAAATTCTTTACTAGTTCATTCCTTACCCAGTCCTCATCCTGGCTTGAGTAGATAACAAAGGCATCATAGGTGTTTTCACCTCTACCATACTTTATGCAGCCAGCAAGAAGCATCAGGTGAAAATAGAACTTATAGACCAGAACTGCTACAACAGATACCACAAGCACACTGAGCACTGACACACCAATGATAGTCTTACTCATCTGACAGGTGATATTCAAACTCAGCACAGGTATGCCCTTCCTATTTAAAGGTGTTGCACATTCCATTTGTTCAACTTCCACCAACAGCCGCCTCTGGTCCTTGATCCACTGCAGGAAACTCTGGTGTTCACAAGTACAAGCAAAGTCATTTTGAGTAAGATTTAAGAAAGCTAGACTACTTGGAAAATGCTGCAGTTCCTGATTTTTGGAAGTCCCTATATGATTGAGACTGTAATCCAGAACCTGGAGGGAGTAGAGATGCTTGTAAGGGAATGTATCCAATGCAAAGAAGTTGTTGTGGCTCATATTTAGTATCCGAAGTCTGGGAAGTGAGTCAAATGCTGTTGGAGACAACTGCTCCAGCTGACACTCAGAGAGGTCCAGGAATATCAAGTTATTCAGATCCGTGAAGATATCTTCAAGGAAGTTTTGCTGGAAAGAATTTCCAGCCATTTTCAAGACTTTGAGACTGAACAAGCCATTAAAGATGCCATTGAAAGCAACTCTGGTGTGAGTATGAGAAATGTCAAGGTAAATGAGGTTTCTGAGTGATAGGAATACTGAAAACTCACTCATTTGTTTCAAATTGGAATGCTGGAAATCCAAGTGTTCTAGTTGTTCTAAGCCTAAGAAGTTTGAACCCATGGTAATAACGTCATTGAAGCTCAGATCTAAATACTTTAGGCTGGTCGTCCCAAAATCAGATTGAGAACAGCAACCTTTGAAACTCAAGCCATTTCTACTGAGATCTAGAAACTCAAGGCTTGGAAGATCAACTTCTGAAAAATGATTCCTACCTTTGTTGGCAGTGAAAGTAAGCCTTTTGAGAGATTTGAGTTTCAGTGGAGGAAACTGTTGAAATACACAGTTAACTAATTCTAAATGTTGCCATCTAAAATTATAAGAAAAGTCTTCTACTCTTTTAATATGCACATTCACCAGGGAAAATGAAGAAACATTTGCTAAACAGTTAAATAAGTCAATAATATCATCTAGAAAGTCATCTAAGTAAGCTAATCGGAATTCATTAATGGTCAAATTGCACAGGCCCTCCAGAGCAGATTTGTCAAAGTCTTCAATATTTCTTTCATTTCTAAATTCTCCCAGAACCAAACGATGGACTTCTAACCCAGCCAGACCTTGAATGCAAGTTTTCATTGCATTTAAACTATCAAAATTATTTCTCAAAGTCAGCTTATGGAGCCTAATTTCTTTAAACGCACCTGGTTGAATAAAGTTTATAGGGTTCAGGGACAGGTCTAAAGAGAGATTGAGTAGGGGCATTTGATGTAGAACCTGCAAGTCTTTGCAATAAATATTTTGAATATTGTTACTAGAAAGGTCCAAGTGCTCTAGATTGGTCAGATTAGAAAAATACTCAGGTAATTTGAAAGATTGGATTAGATTGTGAGCCACATTAAGGTCCTTCAAAGTTTTGAGATGTCCAATGGGGAAGTTCTCTAGTGATAACAGATGTGTCTCCACAGCCACCAGCTTCTGTAAACTTGATAGTCCAGAAAAGGCTCCCAGGGCTAAATTCTGGATAGGATTTCCTGTCAATATTAAGGTGGAGAGGTGGCTTAGGCTCTGATATGCCCCATCTTCGATTGTCTGGATGTCACACCTACAGGAAAAAAAGACACAGATTATATAATATTTCTGCTGAATAGGAACCTAAAATAGAATATTAATCCTAGTCATCCAACTCTTCCTACAGATGTGATTGGTCATATGATTGTGCATAGGCAAAGACATCAAGCAGAACAGATGATGATAGCATGAGCAAATAAGAAGCCCCACAGTTTGAGGTATTATCATACCTGCTGCAATGGTAGGCTCTTTTTGTCATGTTATGTATACATGATAAGCAGAAGAGAAAACCCATATGAAAGAAATCAGCTAAAGATCAATAATTGAGATATATAAGGATCATGTGGTTAATAAAGTATGTAATAGCCTTGGATCAAGTTTAGCCATTTTCTGTTACACAAAATTGTGATCATACATCTTATTGTTACAGATAATAAGGATAGTTGTTAGTTGTTAGCCATGATAAATGGTAACTATCAATTTCAAAGATAAAAATAATTACACATAAGTGTCACAGATATTCTTAATGTTTATTAAAAAAATGTGCATACATGATAGTGAAATGTTTGAAAGTCATTCTTACAACAGGTACATGCTTGTACAGGTTTTAGGAGTGAGTTGTGTGGAAGAAAGGGAAAACTATGTGCTATGAGAGTTCACCTCCAGAGAACTGTTGTGGACCAAGAGATCAAAGTAGGCTTCTCTGAGAACACTTATGTTGAAAATTGAAAGATTAGTAGAAGTTAACATAACAGGAGATGAAAACAGCAGACACAAAAGCCCCAAGGTTGACAGCAAAAAATGACACATGGAAAAATCATGACAAATAGTTTTGTCCATGGTTGGATTACAGAGATGAAATTGGAGTGTACAATGTGGAGTTGTGGAGAGAGGTTTCCAATTAGACAGAGTTTTACTAATAAGCTGAAGAGTTTTGAGTTTTATCCCAAGAGAAATGGAAGCCATGCTACATACAATGTTCATAGACATGTCCTAGAGATGAGACTTTTATACAGCCAGCAAACAGCAAGTCAATGATAAATTCCTTTTAGCATTGCAGGTGCTTGTCAGTTACAATGTACAAATAAGTTATTTTTTAATCCAGCCTTAATTGTATTTACAATATTCCCCACCTGTTATAGCTTATTCAGCAGTTTCCTAAATAATAAAAGCAATGTGGTCCAAGCTTTTGTTATTTATTGGTAACTAGATAAAAGATAGGCAATACAGTAGAAAGAATACTGGAAGAGGAGACAAAAGAGCTTGGGCTTGGTGTCTCTGCAGTCTTCTCCTACTGTGTGATCTTGAGTACCTCTTTTCCTCTATGGGTTTTAGTTATCACATTTTCAAATGAAACAGCTGAACCTGATTATTTTTTAAATTCTTTTTTTCAATTATATGATTTTACAGCCTATTATTTTATCTCTGCATTGCTCTTTACATCAGACAAGAACGAAAGGATCTTGCTGTGTCTCTATGTCATTACATCAGTGATAATCACTTTAGAGAAGCAGAGTATTAAGACAAAGAGAAGATTTAACTTAGATACTGGAGATGTGAACTTAAATCTCTGATCTGTGGCTAACAAGCTATGATTATGTATATAAGTCAATGGAATTCTTCAAGCTTCAGTTTCCTCATATATATATATTATAGATTTCTATAGGGGGAATAAGGCTGCCTGGTCTATCACAAAGCATTCTTACAAGACTAGCTGACTTACTGCATGTGAACACTGTATGAAAAGGCAAAGCATGTCTATTGTGCTACTATTTGTGCTTGCCCTAATTCAGAATCTCCTATGGGCTAACCAGAAAGGAAGCCAGCCTCTGTGTAAGCACATATTTAAGGTTTCTGGGGCAAGTTTCTTAGGTATCTGGTGGATTGAAGATGAAGATGAATTACATAAGAGACATTGTTTTATGAAAAACTACTTCTTGTTTGAAAAAAAAGGAGAGGTGGTCTACCTTAATAGAGTACTTGACAAAATTTTCACACAGAAAACTGAAATGTAGAACATAATGACATAGATGCAGCTGGTAGCCATTATCCTAAGCAAATTAACAAAGGAACAGAAAGCCAAATGCCATGTGTTCTCACTTTATAAATAAGGGCTAAACATGGAGTACACATGGACATACAGATGGCAACAATAGACCCTGGGGATTACTAGAGAGGGGATGGAGAGAAAGCAGCAAGGGTTGGAAAGCTATTAGGCACTATGTTCACTACCTGAGTGATGGGATCAACTGTACCCTACACCTCAGCATTACACAATATATCCATGTAAACCCCTGAAGCTAAAATAAAAGTTGAAATTATTTTAAAAACTAATGAAATTCTATAATAATATTTTATGCTTATAAAATATACTTCATAAAATTTTAATATATACAGCATGTTAATATTTATTATCACATTTAATCCAGCAGGATAAATTTCATCATTTCCATTGATCAGAGGGAGATGAAGTAATATGCCTAAGGTTACATGTTATAAATATTGGGGGTAAACTTGGCTCAGGTCTTCTGACCCCCACAGGGCTCTATGCACTATGCCGATGCCTTTGAATTGTTCCATTACCCCTTTGTTATATTCTATCTATATCCAAATTAGAGTATAATAGATCATATGTTCGTTCTTCTACAGAAATATCTGCTCTAAAGGAGATTTTTATACTGTGACCTTAGTCTTTATCAAGAATTTCTATAATAAGTAATATGTAAAATGTTTTACAAACTATTGCAGAGAACATAGTCCATTATCTAGTTCAATTTGCAAATAAGACCTATGATGATGATGAAAACCCTTTTAGAGTTTGGTTCCCCTAAAATATCATAATGACAATTTCATCTGCCACAACAAATGATATTTCCCTGCATCAGAAAAGAAAAGCTTAGCCAGTATTCCCTGCCCACAGCAGATGTTTTCCTTTGATTTTGACATCTTTCTCCTTGGGTTACTTGTCTTTTTCTAATTCCCTATCCTCTACTCTACTTTTAATATTCTAGACATTATTTGAATCTTATGCAGTTCATGAAATCTTTATTGACTACCCACCACAGAGAAGGCCCCTCTTCTGAACAACACAATTTGTAACCTCTAATTTAAACATAACATATCACCTATTATTATATATCAGCTTCAAGATCCAAAAACAGAATTAAAATTTGTTTAATATATACTGTATACCCAGCACCATATCCAGGATTTTAAGGTATTAACTCTTTCAAGAAGATATGCCTCCTTAACAATGGGGGCTGTGTGCCGTATATCAATATATGCCTGTTTTCTTGCAGAGCGTACAACATATAGCAAGCAGTCAATAAATAGCTGCTTATAAAATAATTTAAGCTAATTTTCTCTCCTGTCTTAGAAGAAAGCCTAAAATTAGAATTGCCCTTAGAAGCTGTCTTGGCCAATTGCCTATTTCTCAGATGAGAAAACTGAGACCTGGAGAACAGAGATGGCTTGCTCAAGGTTTTATAGCTAATAAGACATCTAATGTGTGATTGAATAAGTGAACGCAGATGAGACTCCACCAACCAAGCTTTCTGGTCCAATAATGAAATTATAGGAAAAAGAACATCTCACCTTGTGCAGTATGTAAAAGTGCGTTCATTACCTGGATAAATCCAGCACCTGCAGTTCTGGGAAATTGAAGAAGCTATGGCTGCCTAAATGCCTCAGTGGGTTAAAGCTCAGGTCCAGGTTCTTAGTTGAGAAGGGGATGTTGTCGGGGATTTTGTAGAAATTCAGTTCCATGCATTGATAAGTAACGTTAGGAACAACCTGCAATGATTACACATAAAATCAAGGGTCTTTACTGCATGCTCTGCCAACTCTCCTCTTTCAGACTAGAGACTCAGTGGGGGAGGGGGGCTCTTTTTGTGCAAGCACAAATTCCGGTCACCTTTTTTTATCCATCTGTCCATGCATCCATCCATCCTTCAATCCATCCGTCCATCCATTCGCTCAACTCATACTTATAAAATGACTAACTCTAGATTAGAAAGTAAAGAGCACCTACTCTGTGCTCAGAATTCCAACCTCTGTGATAAAATGGCAGCATTTAGCAAGAAGCAATGGAATCAGGGGGTAAAGGGCTGAGGCTCCAGAATCTGAAAGCTCTGGCTTTCATGCCAGCTCTTTTGTGTGGTTTAGGGCAACGTCTTTAAAAAAAAATTAAAACACCCAGGGCATGTTGGGGTGGTGGGAGGTGGCTAGGGGAGAGATAGCAAGGGGTGGGGGAATTAAGGAGGGATAATATTAGAAGAAATACCTAATGTAGGTGACAGTGGGGGAGTGGGATAGATACAGCAAACCACCATGGCATGTGTATGTCTATGTAACAAACCTGCATGATCTGCACATGTACCCCAGAATTTAAAGTGTAATAATAATAAGAAGAAGAAGATCAAATGCCCAGCTTTTCTAATGTCAAAAGAGTAATAGTTATGTAAATCACTATTTATGTTTCTGTTAACTGGGTCTTGTTCTCAGCAGAAAAAGGAGAAAGTTTTTATCCTTAAAAATGAAAATTAAATCAATTTAAAAATATACAATTAAACTCAACAATGACAACAAAACACTCTCAGCGAGCCTCGTTTTATCATATGTAAAATGTAGGTAATAAAATATCCAATAGCATGCTTGCTGCAGTAGCACATATACTAAAATTGGAATGATACAGAGAAGATTAGCATGACCCCTGCACAAAGATGACACACAAATTCATGACATGTTCCATATTTTAATGATCTGGTAGCAAATCCCCATGGCACTCATTTGCCTATGCAACAAACCTGTGTGCTCAGCACAGGTATCCTGAATTTAAAATAAAAGTTGGAAATTTAAAAAAATAAATAAAATATCCAGTATCATTCTAAATATCCCACATTATATAGCACCTTGGGGAAACTGTCTGACAGTCAAGATGTCCAGACCTTCCTTAATCATAGTCTGGATTTTGACAACTGCATTCTTTTTCTTGGCTCACTGAGCCTTTAGTAGAGTAATATAGAAATAGGGGGAAATCTTTAGAGTGCATGGATTCCCATGGTGGAACCCAGCAAATAAGGTCAAGAGCTTTATACTGTCTTTGTTCTTATGCTGCTTTCTAGCCCACTTTCCCACATTCTTTGTAAGCCTAATTCTCTAACACTCCCATCTAATTTCTGAACTCTCTCATTTCCTCCAACAAAATTCGTTGCTGAAGCCAGCTAATTATAGTTTCCTGTTGCTTAAACCAGTAGAATCTATTTGAAGGATTAAATGAGATAAGGTATTTAAAGAGCTTATTTAAAGCCCACTACAGTATTAATGATCAATAGATGTTAACATTAATCATTATTATATATTATTAATCTCTTATATCTTATATACTTTCACTTAATCTTCATATAAGCATTTTAAAGATGAGGAAAATTTTAAAGATGAGAAATTCAAAGATATGAAGTAATATGCACAAAGTCAGAGTTCAAACATGCAGGTCTTCATTGACATGTCTGTTTAAATGTTACATGCCATAGGAGCCTCAAAAACAATGTTTAATACAAACAGAACAGTGCCACACATCTTTTCCTTGCCCTCTTTTATTCCCTTTCACAGGATGTATCAGCATCTAACATTACATTGTCTGCGTGATCGTTCCCATTGTATTGTTCATGTCCTGCTCTCCATCAAAAGTTTTGATGGTTTTGCCCACTGCTTTGTCTCCAGCACTCAGAATGGTGTCTGGCAAATAGTTGATGCTCAATAAATATCTGCTGAATAGATGAATAACTGATTGAATAACTGATTAAATGAGGGTTTACTTAAGTCCAAATCATAGGCATTTTCTGCCAAGCCCCGTGGGCATTACAAAGAAAAATATGATGTGGCTCCAGATTTCAGTGGACTCACAGTCTGTAAGAGTTTAGACAGGAGCAAAGCTAACACTATCTAGAGGAGCCATACAATAGGCTTAGAAAATATGTCCTGTGGTTCAGCGAAAGCAGAGATCAAGTCTGCATTCAGGAAAGACTTTCCAGAAAAAGGAAGATTTTAAAGTAGGTCTTGAAAGATGAGTAAGGCTTAGATATTCGGAAAGGGGAAGAAAAACATGTCGTAAGGAGAGGACAATGTGAGCACAGAAGGAGTGGAAAACAAACTCAGATTAGCTGGTGAGTGGTGAGAGTGGTGAAACCTAAGCCAGAGGGCAAGCCAGATCAGGAGAGCTTCAGAATTTGTCCTGCAGTAATTAATTCAGTCATCTATCATATATAAATTTAGTGGCTACTGTGTGCTAAGAATATAGTGATAAATAAAACCAGCAATGATCCTGCCTCCTTACAGATTCCATTTCAAAGTAGAGAGAGAAAATAAACAAACAAAAATATAAAATGTTGTGCTCTAGAAAAAAAAAGCATTATAAGAGGATAAAACGAGTAAGTGAGGGCTGGGAAGCTCTACATGGGGCAATCAAGGAAGACTGCCCTGAGGAGGAGACATTTAAGCAGAGATCTGAATGGAGTGATTAACCATGAAAATGACTAGGGCGGCACTGACCCTAGTCACTAGCCATACACGGTTATCAAACACAAGAAATGTAAATAGTCTAAATTGAGATGTGAGGTAAATGTAAACTACATGCTACATTTCAGACTTAGTACCTAACAAGGAATGTAAAATATCAGCAATAGGTAAATATATATTAAAATTTTAAACATTATTTTGAATTTGCTAAGTTAAATAAAAATATTATTAAAATTAAATTCACTTGATCTTTTTTTAATGATGTTACTGAAAACTTCAAAAGTACATATGTGGTTCACATAATATTGCCATTAGATAGCACTGATCTGCCATTCTAGGTAGAAGAAATAGCCAGTACAAAGGCCCTGTGGTAGAAAACTGTTCTAATGACAATAAAGAGTTACTAAAAGTTTCTAAAGAGAGCAATTTCTTAGATCGAAGCCTAAGGAGAAATAATAACAAATGCAAATACATAACATACAAAAACGTGCAGAATGAATTAAAGGACAAAGACTGGAATCAGGAAAGCAGTCACTGTGTAGAAGTCAGCACCAGGGGAAATGAAGGCCTGCCTTACAGTGGTACTAAAGGGATGGGCAGGGATGGAGAGGCTTCAGAACCTGACAGGGAAAGGCACATGGATAAAAGAAGCAGTCAAGGTTGACTCTGGTTTTATCTCAGAGTGATCCTGATAAGAGAATCTATCCCCATTAACCTAACCGCAGAGAGATACAGAGAAGAGGACAAGGAGGAGGACTATGGGCAGGGAATTGTGGGAACAGAGTACTTGGAGATAATGAATTAGTCTTTTCTAAATATTACTCTGTTTTCTCCCATATCCTCAACTTCAGGACGGCAGCTGGCTTTGCTTCTCCTGAGTATCTGACCCTGCCTCACTGTAAATCATTTTCTTAGCTGTTTGGCTCTACAATGGGTTTCTAAAGCAACTGTGAAGTCTGTGCAGGGGAAAATCAAAAGAGATCCATCATGAATAAGGTTACCAATCAGCTGGTTGGTATTTCACAAAGAAAGAAACTGTTGCATTAGCTGATATTATACTTCGTTCCCTCTTGCTCTTTTCTTCTCTCTCTCCTTTCTTTTTCCATTCTCTTATTTTATTCATCCTCTGGACTAAACTATGTGACTGCATACAGAAGTGTGACACCCACCTAGAAGGTTCTTTCTCTTGAGTCACAAACAAGCCATCTTCTTCCTGAGATTGAAAGGGGCAAGATGACTGCTTGAAGCTGTGTGTAAAGACCACAGAAGCGATCTGCTTACTCTCTAGTGAAGAGGGTATTATAATTCTTTTATAAATGTGAAAAGTCGTCTCAGAGAGGTTTATTTCTTCAAACAGCCACAAGGTAGCAGAGCAGGAATCTTAAGCAGATCGACGCCCTTGTTAGCACTCAAAAGTTGCAAATGGAACAAACCCCCACTGGCTGCCTTTAGTGCCCTCTAACAATGAACTAGTGAATCTCTGTGGCTTCCTGAGTCTTTAAAGTAATTTAATTCTTTTTTTGCAAAAATAAACAAACCAGGACACACAGTATGAAATTCTAGGCAGAAGCCAGGGAATGTTCAGAGGAGCGGACGCCAGCCACATACCTCCACGCAGGGCTCCCAGCTTTCAGGTCTCACGCAGGAGAGGAAGGCCATGGCTGGGATCAGAGCCCCAGCCAGGCATGAAGCAGGCATCATCCTGGCATCATCCTCACTGCTTCTGTGAGCAGCAGTGGCCCCGTGAACGCATGGCTGGCTATCACCGTCTGACTGGGCAGATTCTGAGGCACTGGTGTTTTCTCTTCCTGGAGCCAGTGCCCCACAGCAATTGGTGTATTCAAAACAGCTCTGGGCTAAAGGGGGAGAGGAAGTGAGAGTGGCGACCTTAGCATTCTGGACTTCTGTTTCTCTAATAATTATTTCTTTTGTCACAGGAGAGGAAGTTAGAAAAAGAAGAAGAAGGAAATGTCTGCAGACCAGTAGCTAAAGAAACAGCAAGAGGAGGCTAGTTGGCTTTTATCCCGGGAGGTCATCTGACCTCTGCCTAGGCGTGGTGACTTTAGGAAAACAGTCAGATTCTGTTAAAACAGCCCTGGTAACTCTCTAGGATGATGGTGATATTCCAGTTTTGTTTCAGTTGTAAAAACACCTCTTGTATTAGTTTGCTAGGGCTTCCATAACAAAGTACCACAGACTTAGGGTATCTTAAACAACAGAGATTTATTTTCTCACAATTCTAGAGGCTTCCAGTCTGAACTCAAGGTGTCACCAAGTGCCTCTGAATTCTCATCTCCCCTTCTTATGAGGACACCAGTTACGCTGGATTAGGGCCAACCATAGTGACCTCATTCTACCTTACATACCTCTTTAAAGCCTCTCTCTCCATATACAGCCATAATCTGAGGTAGACGGGTTAAGACTTCGATATATAAGTTTTTGCAGGGACATAATTCAGCCCACCTCTTCTTGTGAAGAAACTCACATACAAAACTGAAAATAAAGCTCCAGTGAAACACAGTTGAAAAGTACAAGAAGATTGGGAAAAGTCTGGGATTTCAAAATCTAATATACTGAAGTTCAGATCCAGGCTGCATGACTCACGGTCTTCAGGCATTGGTCAAGTCACGTAAACTACTAAGTTTTATGTTTTCATTTTTGTTTTTGTTTTTTCCATTTTTGTTATTGTGATAAAATCACATAAAATTTATTATCTTAACTGTAAGGGTTACGGCCGAGTGTAAAATGAGGAAACTGAGGCCAGTATAAAAAAATTAAATGCCAGTTTATTCGGCTCCTGGGTGAGGTTCTCTGGTCCGGGGAAAGGGGGCCAGAGAAGTTGCACTGACTTCCTGGGGCGGGGAGGTGGGGGGTGTTATAGCTAGAAGGAACGAGCAACAGCTGGGTGCTCTGATTGGGTCCAGGGGAGCAGGATTGAGATGGGGTGGGCTGCTATTGGTTGGCAGGTTGTTGTGCGGGTTTTTCGGTGAGAGATCTGGCCAGGATTGCATTAGCCAGAGCCTTCCAGGGGAGCCATGTGACAGAGCTAGGTGCTGAGTGCAGAGCCTGGTACTGGGTGCAGAGTCAGGTGCTGAGTGCAGAGGTGGGTGTGTCCGGCCGACACAGCCGGCCTTACATTAACCATTTGTATGTGTACAATTCAGTGGCATTAATTATATTCTCATTGTTATACAGTCATCACCACTATTTATTAAGCAATAACTCCCCATTTCTCTGTTCTCTAGCCCCTGGCAACTACACACAACTTTTTGTCTCTATAATTTTGGCTACTGTAAATATCTCTTAGAAGTAGAATCATACAGTAAGTGCCTTTTTGTCACTGGCTTATTTGACTTTGCATGATGTCTTCGAAGTTCATTTCTCTTGTAGTATAGATCAAAGCATCCTTCCTTTTTAAAGCTAAATAATATTCCATTGTATGTATATACCACATTTTGCTTATCCATTTGTCTGTTTGTGGTCACCTGCCTTGTTACCACATATTAGCTATTGTGAATAGTGAATTATTGTGAATAATGCTGCTAAAAACAGGGTTGACAGATATCTCTGAGTCCCTGCTTTCAATTCTTTCGGATATGTAATCAGATGTGAGATTGGTGGATCATATGATAAAGCTATTTTTAATTTCCTCAGCAACCACCACGCTATTCTCCACAGCATCTGTACCGTTTTACATTCCCACAAGTGGTGTACAAGTGTTCTCATTTCTTCACATTTTCACCAAAACTTATTATTACTTTCTGGTGTGTAAAATGTGGTAATCGTTTCTAAGCACAGCAGAAACTCACATCTATAAAATATACTAAAATAAAGCTGTACAATGGTATTATACAAATGACACAAGCCTAACAACCTTTAGTTTTCTGGTCTTTAAAATGGAGATAATCACAGGTGTCGTCAATTACTGAATGAAGCTAACACATAACATTCCTAGCCTAGAGTATCATCATTACATCTCATAAATGAGAGCTCTCATGGGATTGAAAATGTGGATAGAATGAGAATGATAGTGTGTATCTCAAAGGATTATCATGGGATTAAATGAGCTGGCATTGTGAAGCTTTTAGGGCAGTGTTTGGAAAATAGCAAGTATGATGTAAGTTTCTGTTAAATAAGAACATGATTTAAAATGGGAATATTATGGGTACTGTGTCTTAGACAGTCCTACTGTGATATCTTCCAATCCAACATGTCCAAAACCAAGCCGTGAGAGATCATTTTGTAGTGGAACTGACCACAAACTCTTGTAGACGCCGTCGAGACAACAGTAGAGTTAAGGTAAAGACAACCTCCATGTTAAAGCTTTGCTCTGAGGATTTAGACTATTTATGCAAAAATCTTAGATCAGTGCCTGACACAGAATAGTTGCTCAATCAAGTTTAGTTCCCTGGAAAGTTAATGGTGTTTCACTTCTATATAGTCACCCAACGTGGAAATCTCTTTGACTTTATTTCCCTTATTTCCTCATTTCTCATGCTAAACATGCATTAACTTAATTTTTTTTTCTATATTCTCGATATTCTCACATCTGGGAAGAGACTGCACCTACCAGGGCTAGTCAGTTCTTAAAGATAGCAAAGAGCAAAGGATCTGCCCTGAAGCATGCCTTTCTTCTGCACACTAACCAATCCAGAGCCCTTACTCTGAACCACCTCCTCTACATGGCTCTTACACCCAAATAGATACTGTTATTAAGCCCTAATCATCACAAGTCCAGGTACAAGACAACTAGAGACAGACCCTATACCCCAGAGCCCACTGTGGTTATTTAAACTAGCCAATTCTATGCCTGCTTATCCTGCCTTGCCTTGCCTTTTCTGAAGAAAAAACATCAAAGCTTGTGCCTGTAATTTCCTGTTGTTCCCTCTGCCTCCTGACTCTGGTGCTTCCCATGTGGCCCTGCACGGTGTGGCATGACCCCTCCTCTTAGGAACTGTAAACAACAAATTATATTTCCAGTGACATCATCTTCTGATCTGTTGTTTTCACCATAGCTGAATAATAAAACCTACATTTTAAAAAATGTTCCACCAAGTTCTAGAAGTTGTATCTGTAAAATAATTATAAAATGCCAGTCACTGTTTCTACTAGCATTACTATTAAACATATCCCATGGCCTAGATTAGCAAAATATACTATTAAGAAGTCTTCCAGGGCCGGGCGCGGTGGCTCAAGCCTGTAATCCCAGCACTTTGGGAGGCCGAGGTGGGTGGATCACGAGGTCAAGAGATCAAGACCATCCTGGTGAACAAGGTGAAACCCTGCCTCTACTAAAAATACAAAAAGTTAGCTGGACATGGTGGTGCGTGCCTGTAATTCCAGCTACTCAGGAGGCTGAGACAGGAGAATTGCCTGAACCCAGGAGGCGGAGGTTGCGGTGAGCCGAGATCGCGCCACTGCACTCCAGCCTGGGTAACAAGAGCGAAACTCCGTCTCAAAAAACAAACAAACAAACAAACAAACAAAAAGAAGTCTCACAAAGTCTAGATTCACATCTTTCAGTGTATCAGCTCTTCCAATTGATTCTTCATCCTACAGTTAAAAACATCTTTCTAAAATAGAAATACGATTTCCATGTCATGCTAATAATGATTTCAGACTGTGTATTATCTAGACAAAAAACCTCCGGGCCTACCCACATCACACACAGACATACAGAAACATTCCACTCCCTAAGAATGAGAAATAAATATGTGTGTTATTTCAAGCCAGACATAACTAGACCCCATTACTAGGGCACAGTGCTTTAGTGAATAGAGGAATATAAGTGTGTAACAGACAAATGCCCTTTCTTTCCATCATTTGGAGAGGAAACCGCTTGACGATCAAGATGAGGACCTAAGAAAAAGGGCCCAGTGAAGTCCTTTCAACTATGTTTTCTGAGATGTTAATGCATATATTTTATAGAAGTCTTCCTGGAACTTTTTCCTATCTGTGACTGAAGAATCCCTGGTAGTGACTTGTAAAGAGGTCTCCTTTCCATGGGAAATGAATGGGATTAACACACAATCATTTACCGATTTTAGTCAAAGATATCTAGGTTCTATGTTGCTCTTCCAAAAGGCAGGCCATGTGTCAAATACAAATTAGAAAGTGTAAGCCTCCTGGTTATCAAATCTTACTTGCTTATGTTAATGGACTTACTGATGCAGTATTATAATGAGGTAAAATAGTGGTGATTAGTTACCATCATGGGCCTGCAATTTCCACTGCAGTAGAATAATTACATCTTTTTTTTTTACTTTTATTTTATGTCCAGAAGTACATGTGCAGGGTGAGCAACTGTGTTACTTAGGTAAACATGTGTCACGGGCATTTGTTGTACAGAATTAATTGCATCTTAAGGACAGTGGTAGAGATTTGGCCAAAGGCGTAAGAAACCACTTGGTCTTCCACATCCTTCATGCAAAGCAACTTCAACTCAGGACCCATAATTGTTCAGTCAATGGAGGAATCCCATCTTTGCCAGGGACCTGGAAGAGGTGCTTGCTACTATTTGGCAGGTAATGCATATGCTGTAAGAAATATGAACAAAACTGACCAGTGTTGAGTTAAGCTAATTGCTGTATAAACTTCCAAATTTTATTGTGACTTAATAAACGTTTTCCTTGCTCATGAAGCACTCAATGAGGATATTTCTGATTGGAGTACCCTAGGTATGATTCCTGGTTCCAGGCTTCTTTTATTTCATTTTTTATTCATATTTAGCATGCAGCCTCCAAATTTACTGCAGAATGTGAAGAAAGCAGGGGATGATATCAGGTACTTAACTACCTCTGCTCAGAAGTGACATGCATTTATCTCTG